TCCAACTTGGAATAAAACAGACAGCTGAGAAATGCATATAAGACAGAGCAGAGCAGATCTAAATGAAATCATAAAAATCAGAAATGCATCTATATGTAGCAGACTCCTTACTGGATCTAGAAGGACCTGGAGGCTGGCCTGCCCTCTCTTCCTCAGCTCTGCCAGGCTCTCTCCTCCTTCCCTCCTCAGTAATCTTGGCACTGGATGGTCCCCCTTCCTGGAACCTCCCCCAGATGTGTATGCTGCTGGCTCCTGGTCATCCTCAAAGGGCCCCCTCTCCAGGTCTCCCTTCCCTACCCCATCCTTCATTACACATCACCCAGGTTTGTTCTCCTATATCTCTTATCACTGCCCCAAACTATCCATGCTCCCTGACTACTTCACGCAGGGAAACATAAGCCCTCGTTTGTTCCTGCATCCTCCGTGTCTAAATGGTACCACACGTGGCAGGTGTCCAGCAACTAGTTCTGCATGAAAGAAGAGAGGAAGGGAGCCAGGGAGGGAGGGGGAGTCCTGGGGCAGAAAGTTTATGATCAGGGAAGTAGGAGAAGGCTGGAATTCCAAGAGGAAGGGGAGGAGAGATGGGAGATGAAATTTAACTGGACCAGGGAACACATCATTCAGGTAGATTCCTATGGGCTGGTGTCAAGATTTCCATCTGAAGATTAAGACCAATGAGGGGCCTCTGAAAGGCTTTAAGTCAGAAGTAACATAACCAGGTTTCTATTTTTGAAATGCTTACCCCAGATTCACTATGTAAAATGAGTTACAAGGAAGCAAGAAAGGTTAAGAGCAGGAGGCTGTGCCCTGGCGGCTCCGAAGAGTAACAGCAGGACAACAGCAGAGTGGGGACAACAAGCGGCCGCTGGACCCGTGAGGATCCTGACAAGGGAGAGGGAAGGAAGCACAGCAAAGCCCACTCTGGACAATTGGCCCGCCGCCGCTGTGCAGCAGTCACTAAAATGCTAGATACCGTCACAGAGGTTGCTTTGGTGGAGAAGGAGAGACTGACTGGTTTGCAGACGCCTCTCAGACATCCCAGCGGGAGTGTCTAGTAGACAGCTGGCTATGCAGGCCTGGAGTTCAGAGGAGAAGTCTAGACTGGAAAAAAACAAAGATTCCAGAGACATGATGAAATAATAAGACATTGTGAATGACCAGGGATGAGAGAAAGAGGGAGGTCTAAGGATTACGCTGTTCTTGATATGGTCCCTGCAAGAACAGTGGTGTTGCTGATGGGGTCCAGCATACAGCTGAATGGAATATTTGAAGAAGCCCCAAATTGGGCTCTGATATGAAACTGCACAGGACCCGGCAGAGGTACTGTAAAAGAATATCACTGGGTATAGGGAGGAGTGGTCAAAGCCCCAGAGAGAAGCGTTTCAAGGCCATGTTTATGGGAAGTGTTTCCTATTAGATTCCTATGAATTGGACAGCCATGCTTCCCATGAGGCCAAATGACTACATTCTCACCTCCCTTGTAATTAGGTGTGGCTAAGCTCTAGTAAAAAATGCAGAAGTGTGAGTTTTATCTGAAGATGGTTCATTAAAAGAGAGGGGAGCACATTCTTCCCCTTCTTTCTCCACCCTATTGCTTGAAGCATAGATGAGATGATAGCAGCTTTTTGGTCCATGACGATAAGGACCAAATCCAAGAGATGGCTAGAAATCCAAGAAATGCTAGAAAGTACCTCGGTCTCTGACGATCTCATGGAACTGCCATACCTATCTCAGGCTACCTACTTCCAGACTTGTTTTAAAAGATAGATTCATCAACTATCTCATTTGCTCCACGGCTATTTGAGGATATTCTCTTACAAGTGGAAAGAACACTCGTCGACCGGCCTAACACATCCCTGGCATTACTGTCCCCTTGCTTTGGGTCACATCGTTGCCTTGACAGGGAATATCCTCCTTGCCTGTATTATTTAAATCCTGCCCATCCTTTGGAGGACAGACCAAATTCCACCTCCCACACTAGACTTTCCCTCTACATCGGCCCCCTGAACTCCAGGCTGCCTGCCTGTCCCATCATCTGGCCTGTGCTGCCTTCACAGTGATTCATCCCTCCACACGCATCGCCTGACTCCTCAAAAAGGCCCCGAACCATCAAAGGCAAGGCCCATATTTTCCAAACCTTTGTATTCCCTGGGCCAGGAGGCATTCAATGCAAGAGCATGGTGAACATGCCTCCACTAAGCCTGTCACCTCCACCTGTAGCTGGTGGAGCAGCATCAGAATGGGGCCAGAAAGTATGTAAATAAATTTATAAAGTGGGAAGACAGGCGGCATTGAGGGCAGTCAGTGAGAAATCTAAAACCACTTCTAATATCGAGAGGTACCTTGAGAAAAAGGCCTGATATTTTTGCATAAAATCTATATAACAGATATTTGACTGCCATGCAGGCACTGAGGCAGGAGCACCATTTGTAGAGAAAACAAAGGGAATGGCAGCCTCCAGAAGGTGCTATTCCCCAGCCCCGCACACACAGATACAAGCCCCTTCAGAAAAGCCAGCGAGTCATGCAAACCAACATATTTTTACATAACACACTTGTAACACATTCTTCACAGATCATCAAGAACAGACTGCCTCTGATCATTTAAATAAAAAGTGTATTTGAAATACCCTTAGAGCAAATACAGACCAAGATAAGTGCCTTACAACTAATACAGTTCATTTGTAAAGGGAGCCTGATTTTTACTGATTGCTTTTTTCACCTATTGTTTGCCACATGAAATTGTTAAACGCAACGGAAAAGGCAGAGGAGGCCTAGACGACTCACCCCACAGAGCTCAAGTTCTGACACATGATGAACCACCAGGAAGACAAGCGCAGAGACAGCTACGGGGGCAGCTTGCACAGAAACCTGTCACTTAGAACAAGCCCAAGTCCCGACAAGCCCAGCCTGTTTGAGGGCATGTCCAGATTCCCTCAAAATGCTCTTACTGTGAGAGTGGACAAGGCAGATGTGGGGGAGGCGCACACTGTGGGATCCCCATGGAGAGCAACCATGTGGACTCAGAGCCCACCATAAAGACCCCAAAGTCACTACAAATGAACCCCAAAAGACAAGCTTGACACATAACAAGCCAGCTGAGAGATAAGAAGCTTCCTGATGAAATAAATACCACTAGTGCTGCTTTGCGATCAGCTGCCAGGAGGGAAAACCAGCCCTTCTCAGCCTCCGAAGATGCAGAATGCTGTAAATGGTATTCCCTGGAAAAAAGACTGCTCTCCATTCCTGCCCACGGTTTTAGATAGCTGCTCCTCTGCCACCTCATTTCTGTTGAAACACAGCCGGGTTCCAATACAGTTGCCAAGAAAAACTGCCCCCTTCCGGGCCTAAGAGTCCAGGATTCCAAGCCAACACCACAAGGCCAAAGGCGGCTTGGGCAGGGTGCCTGTGGCCTCCAGGAAGCCTGCCTTTTCGGACTGAGTCGCCCCTGTGCCCACCAGGTGTCAGTAGCGAGCGGGGTGAGCCTCCAGAAACTTCAGCCAGGCCCTGAATGAGAGACCCCGGGGGCTGCGGCTCTGGGGACAGGCGGTGCTACTGCCACACTCTTAGGCCCTCATAAGCACTTCATTTACTTGGTTGCCACCTCACCATGCAACCTCTATGATGGTTTTGATTCACTCTCCTTCACACGCTCAGAGGGAAGAGGAAGGACTGCTCATTTCAGTAAGGATGAGAGCCTTTCTTTTCTCCCCCCAGGAAGTGGAAACATAAAGTAAGGTTTTGTACTCTTAGCCTATCATCCCCATATAAATTACCAAAGAGTTATTCTAGCAGTTTCTCTCTATACTGAGGTTTGAAATGTTTGGTTTGTGATGCTTGGGCAACAGCTTTGGTACTATCCCGTGTGGGCCCACAGGATGGAAAGGCCAGCAAGGAAACTGGACCGTGCAAAGCCAGAACTAAGGGCCACTTCACTGCCTGCCTTTTTGGGCTGGATTGAAACTGGTTTCTCTCACTGGGTGTAGCATCTTCAACAGAAATACTAGATCTATGAGAAGCTTCAGCAACATTGAAAGCTGTGCTTTACTTTTATTTTAAATCCAGGAAAAAAGGTTTATTTTAAGCTTAGGAAAGCTTCATCAAATCTGCAGCTACTTCCCTTTCTGTGAAGACACATCCTTTGGCACACAAGACCATGATGAGACAGGCCCACTGTGTCCTCAGCACCAAGCACTGTGGCCCCTTCCAGGGTCCACACTGCCACTAAACACCACCCAAACACCAAAAAGAATGCAGCCTATTTACCTCTGCCTCTCCACAGCCAAGACCCAGGGCCCCTGCTGAGCACACCTCTGAGTACTCGAGGTACCTAGTGGGAGCTTCTGCTGCCAATTAACCCCTTGACTTCAATCCATGGAAACCTGCTTTAAAGCATCTCATAAGCAAAGATGCTAAGACAGAGGAGAAATATAATCTTCCAGGGCAACCCTCCCAGGCCTGGTTCAGCATTTTGCAAATAGCTGAAGTCCCCATCTTGAAACAAGGAAACACTCTAAGGTTTTGATGCCAAATGGCACCACTGAGGCCCAAGACCCTGAAAAGCAGTCTGGTAACTGGGGACCAAATGTTGGCCCAACTGCCCTTGGGAAAGCCCCGCCGTCTCTGCAACAGGAAGGGGCAGGAGAGGCCTGGATGGAAGCAGCCACCAAACCTGAGACACTCAGTGACCAGGAGTTCCAGGGGGTTGGCCACACTGCCACCACACCACCGGCCTGCTTATCCACATCCACATTGCTTCACTCACAAGAGGCACTATACTAACCGGTAAGCAGGGGCTCTGGGGCATCTCTCCAGGTCAGGAGACCACATGGTGATACCCAGGAGCTCCTGCCCCTCTCCTTCTGTCTTGGAGGCCCACATCCCAGCCCACCCACCAACAACTTTCGAGCTTGTATCTTCCAAGAACAAGCACTTCTGGGACAGAGAAACATGTTGCAGCCAGATAAGGACAAGCTTGTGGAGCAAAAAAGCCAGCCTCACCATTTGCTGATGATGAGAAGCAGTGGTGGACGGTGTCTGAGGAAGTGCTACAGTTCTGCCAGAGGTCAGTCGCGTGTCCATTGCCCACTATCCATTGCTAGAAAGAACAAAACATCTTAAATCAGGGGGGTGGTGAGGAGTGAAGGAACAGGGAGAGGGGAGACCAAGGGAGGCTGGAGAGCAACCTCATCGACCCGTCTGCCTGGCCAGCCTCTGCCCTGCCCACGGTTGCCCAGCCAGTGGCCACAGTCATGCTGGAGAAAGGACAGGGGGTGGCAGTCTGGCTCAGGCACTGTGTTGAGGGAAGGGCCCAGGCTTTGTATGTGAAAAGCATTCTGTAAATGGAAAAGTACCCACACACATAAGCTATTATGTGCAGAAGTGTGTACTAGAGTAGAAGGAGCCGTGGACTTGACCCAGGACACCTGCTTTCAAGCCGATTCTCCTGCCAGGATCTCCTGGATGTCATTCCCCAAAGCCACCCCCTCCCTGAGCTTATTTTCTTACTTACAATTCCTAGCAATTCGGCAAGATTATCAGGCACAATTAAGATATTGTCAAGATGCTTATAAATAATAAACCAATTCACAAATCCCCAACCTAATTATTTCTCAACCTTTGAAACAGATAAGACTATCATGCCTGGGACTGGCTTTATATTAATAAGTTAAAGCCACAGTCGCATAACTGCCTGAGTCTGTGCTCACTTTCTTCAAGAAAGTAAGCTTAAAATTTAATGGGCTTGATGTCCACAGTTTTGTAACACAAGTTGTCCATCCAGTGGAGGCTGTGTCCACCTCATAAAGCCAACCTGTGAACTCTTTTCCGGCAAAGCCAATTTTAACTTTCCAATTTCAAGTCCTAAAGGGTGTTTTATGAACTAAGCCACCCATCTAACCTATGACATTTGGAGGAAAACGGACCTTCATACACACTCCATTCCTCAACGAACCCGCATGAAGGAAAAAATGCTGAGCAATCTTACCAAATAAAGGTAGGGGCCACCCTGGATCTGCACTTGAATTATTTGGCTTCAAGAGAGACCTGCTTAGCTAACCTAGTCCAGCGATTGCTTCCTTCCGGAACCCCTCAATCTGCTCTGCTTTTCTCAAAACAACTGAAAAGGGGCAGATGGCCAGAAACTGCAAAACGCCCTGGGACGACCGAGACTTCACAGTCCCGAACTAGGGGGCGCACAGCTGCATCGCCGCTGGAGCCCGGAGTGCGCGCTGGGAGCCCGGCCGACCCCCGCAGCCCGCGCGGCACTCACGCTGACGATGGTGGAGACAAACAGGAGCACCAGCACGGCGACGTGGAGGATGATGATGCCCAGCAACAGGAGGAGCATTCTGGCGGCAGGCTCTGCTCTATGGAGATTCTGCCCTGCGGAGGTTCTGTCTGCCAGGAGAGAGCCGGGCTGGACGCGAGGCCGAACCAACTGGCCGGAGCGAGAGAGGGAGGGAGGAGCGCGCAGAGGGAGGGTCCATGCGCGAGCGGAACGCCGGGGTCTGGCTCCGCGCCCGCCGCCCGCCCGCCCACTTGGGGCGCAGCGCCGTTACGGACCCGGTAGCCGGCCGAGAGAGGGCAGCAGCAGGCCGTAGCCTCCCCGGCCAGCCGCCCGCCGGGCCGCCTGCGACAGAAAATCTTTGCTTTTGGAACAAAACAAGTGGTGCGCACGTCTAAGTCACCCTGGGAGGAGAGGTTTTTCCAGAATGACGAGCAGAGGCTACAGCACGCCTCCACCCACCCGGGCGCCTTCCACGGCCTAACTTGGGGAAGGGGACAAAGGCAGGAGAACACACGTTCCGTGGAAGTGGCGGTGAGGGTGTAGGCGCCCAGATTTCTGAGACAGGCCTGCGCAAGCTGTGAGGGAGAGCGCGCGGCGGGCACCGGGCATCCAGATCCCAGCGCGCTCCGCATTCCGTTAGTCTCCACGTTTCCAGCCGGGTCTGCCAGGGCAGGGGAGCCGTCCCGGACCCAGCTCAGCCTGGCATAGACGCTGGCGGCTCCACTCCCGGGCCAGCCCCACGCATGGTCGCCCGGGAGCTCCTGAGGCGCCCCAGGCATGCAGAGCCAGGACGCCACCCAGTGCAGCCTGGGCGTGGCGGGATACGGACTCAGAAGCCTGGATAGAGGGGTCAGATGTTCGATGGGAAGGAGAGGCAGAGGATGAAGGGTTCGGTCCCAGGAGAACTGCAGCGGGTCAGAGCCGGCAGGACAGCTGTGCGCAGTTGTGCGGCCCTAGCCCCTCATTCACAGACCGTGGGGAACTTAAGACTGGGATGACCTGTTAGAGGATACGTAGGGCTGCGGAAGACCTGCTGCATTTGGAAGGACTATTTCAGGACAGGGCTTGGACCAGAGAGACAACGTTCCATTAACACACTTTTATAAGTTCCCAGCCCTAGGCTGGCTGTGCCTGTTGGTAAGCAACATTCAAAGAAACCCTGGAATGCATAGAAAGAAATAAGCACGGTTTACTGATGTCTCCCAGAAAGTTTAAATTAAATCCAGTAGCTCACAGAGGTAAGGAGGCGCAAGAAAGATGACCGAGTATATGGCTAGAAATTGGGGGTCCAAAGGGACTCAGTATCCCCGAGATGTCCACCGCAGGGACTGCTTTGCCAATGAGTCATCGAGTAGGCGCCCCTTCAGCGAGGCGAAAAATGCTCCGCCCCTGCGCGGTATCCCGACACCACCACCCGCGCCCCTAACGGATCGCAGCCAAAAGGCACTCCACGCTGTACGCCTCCGGCCCTGTGGGAACGACACCAGACAGACCGTGGTCTATCTGTCCGCTCTCGGGACAGAAAACTCGGGGACCTGGCCAGCCCAAAGAAAAGCTCCGCGCTTTCTGGCACCTTCGACGGAAGATGCCCACGTTTCTCCCGCATCTCCTCCACTTTCCCTACCAAAGCACTTACAGCCCAAAGGGATAGCTGTCCCCGATCCTCCGAGTGGCCTCGGGCACAAACTCCGTGCGTTCGCTGGCTGTCGGCGTCCCCAAACACAGCTGCGCTGCGAGGCTGCGCGCGCGAAGCGAGGGGCCAGAGGGAGGCTCCCGGCGTTCCCTTTAACGGGAACAACGCCCTGTCTGCGTCGCCGCAGTAGGGTGTGTCCCTGGGTCAGCGTGTGCAGGGGCGGGACTCTGGGAGGAGGGCGGGCGCGCGAGGAGACGGACACTCGGCCATAAAAGCGCCTCCGGAGACAGCCTATCGCTGCAAAACCGCTGCAACTTTTACTCGAAGCTGGGAGGCAGCTGAGCTCTCTCACCTCCGCTCCCCCTGGCTCGGCGGAGTTGGTGGAGACCAAGTGCTGACCAATAAACTGGCTCCTCCGCCGCGTCCGCCCCCTCAGCCCACACGGGGAAGGCCCGCCGGAGGTCGGGTGCCGGCGCTGGACTTCAGGGCGCACACATGCGAGCCGCGCCCACATAGAGACCCAGGCGGGATTCCTACCGCACCGGTAGCGGGGAGCTGGAAAACGGCACCTGGTCTGTCCTTGCATTTTAGCTGCTCACACCTGCACCCCGCCCACCCCAGCTATCCGTGCCTGCACCTAAGCCGTGGACCCTAGAATTGGCGTGGGAGGGGTACCGATCTAGCAGGCCCTGCTTGGGTGAGAGAGTTAGGGGGAGCAAGGAGATAGGACAGTGTACCCTGGGGTCAGGCTCCTCTTAGTCTGGGCAAAACCAGACCACAGCTGGGTATGCTCCAGGCGAAGTTCGCCTGGTTTGGCTCCCAGCTTCTGCTGGCGTCCCCGACCACAGGGTGGGGAGTTGACCGTTTGAGGTGGGAGAAGCGCAGCCAGAGAAATCCGCTGATTCATAGTCGTCTGAACGTGGTCGGGCCACCTCTACCTGCTAGTACTGTCACAAAACCTCATCACTTTAAATGATTCAAATGACTCCATACTATTTGAAAGTAGCTGCTTTTGTAGCTAATTGTATATTCTTACCCTTAACTAAAAATAAATTTGAAAAATTCTTCACGCTCTTGGCTTTTAAAGATTCTTATGCTATTACATTAAAAAGAATGCTTGTAGAAATTTTATTTGATGCCCATTATATGGCAGGTGCTTTAGCAGGACTGACACACAGCCTGTGAGAGGTTGTCTCCTGGTTAAGTGTGGTGGGGGGCTGAGGGGCCTCTGGACTCTAGTTACTCTGTTCACTCAAGGTTGTGAATCTAAGCAAGTAGCTGAAGTTTACTGGGCTTCAGTGTTCTCATCTGCAAACAGAACTAATAATACTTATTTTAAAGGGTCACGGTGATGATTAAAGGAGTCAAAGTGTGTGAAGCAGGACCAGAGTCTAAAACATAGCAAGGGACCGATACCCAGCAAACTGTCGCCATTATTATTATTATATCTCATTGAACCCTCACAATAGCCCTTCAAGGCAAGCCTGAACACCTCTGAACTAAAACAGCTTATAAGCCCCATACAGCAAAATGCAACTGCAAGTAGACCCACCAACTAAAAGAACGAAGTGCTCCCTCTCCCTCCCCAAGCACTTTCTAGGTCAGGTTTGCCCTGCGAGTTACTACCTTGCTTTATGCCATTCAGACTTTTATTTATTTAACCATTTATGTGCTCACTATGTACCTGGTACTATTCTAAACACTTTACAAATATTAGCATATTTAACTCAGTATTTTCATTCTCTTCCTATCTTTTTTTCCAAGTAAACATTTTAGTGAAGCATATACATCTAGAAAAGTGCACCTGCTCTAAGCACAGCACATTTCTGCCTTCTTTTTTTTTTGACCCCCATATTTTAGTCAACAACCCACCACACTTCAGAAAACACGCACCCACCCATCCCCTAGTGCCCCTTACCTTGTCTCCTGCCTGCTCAGTTCCCAGTGATGAAAGACTGGATGGAAATGCTGCCCAGTATCACCAGGCCTGGCCACACCCACTGCAGGGCCTGATCTGCCACAGGTGGAAGCTTCTCCCTAACCTGCTTACCAGTCCCAGGTCACCAGCCAGCTGTGTGTGCAACCTGTTTACCACCTGAGAAAGACCGTCTAGTCTCCTTTCTCCTTTCAAAGCTTGGATGCCCTGGGGTTTCCAGACACTGTCAGAGAGTCCTTCTCACCTCCCCAGCCAGAGCATATATCTAGCTCTTGAACAAGGATTTTAAAAAGTCCTCTGACCCTCCAGTCGATTTCAACACACACACACTGTCTCCCCCACAGTCCTTTCCATTTGCAGTTTGCATGGGGTGGGGGATTGGGTAGCTCTTTGTAAAGCATAAGCACACATCACCCAGAGGCACAGTTTGCCAATAAAACTCACCGGGCCAAACAGTGTAACCCCTTCCTTCAAACAGCTTTCTTCGCAGTCAAATGCAACGGATGCAAAGGTAAGGCCCCCCCACAAGGCAGAGCAGAGACCAGCAGCTGGCAGGTCCTATGCCCTGCTGCTTCCACCCAGCTCCCCGAGATGGTGGTGCTCCCTGTAAGTGAAGCCGGACCAGGCACCCGTCTAGTTTATTCAGGGGCTGGTCCAATGCTGGGATATGTCATGGTGGCCTGAGAGCTTCTCAGCCTCTACAATTTAAAGAGACAGCACCCAGCCTTGTGTACTTGCCAGAACCCAGTGATCCCAAGGGGCCCCACAGGGCATGGAGAACCTGGAATCAACAGGGGGAGGACTTTGGGGATGCCCCAAACTTGCTGCTCTCGCTGTCTGTGCCAGCTCATGTGGTAGCAAAAAGGTTCCCCCAGCTCTGAGTGGCCCCCACTTCCCTCCCAGGGAATTCTACAGAGATGAAACATACTGTGTGAAGGGTCTGTGTGCATTGTGTGATATGTGTGCAGGTAAGTTCTATTTTTAACCAACAGCATGGTGTTAAGCAGCTCAAACACTACACAGGTAATCTCCCACAGCACATGCCAGGGAAGCAAGTGCCTTCAGGTCCCGAGACGAAGACTGCTCAAAGCAGGCCTGCCAAACCCTTGCTGGGGAGGGCCTCTGGTACCTGCCCTGGCTATCAAAATCCCACCCTGCCCACTGGCAGCATGTCAGTCTTGGCTCAGAGAAATAGGTTCTTTGGGCTCATTCATGTGTTCTTAATCAAGGCGTCATTAATGTTGACCTTCCTGAGATAATTCGATTCAAGTAAACATACTTCTATGGAAAACATTCTGACCTGCCAGTCAGGATGAGCTAGAAGAACAATTGTAAAGCTACAGAGAGGTGGACAAATGAAGGCATGGTATTCTACAGGGTCTTTGCAGCTTATACCCCTTTCAAGCTCTGAGAAAGAGTCTCTACCTCTAGCAAGTTCTCCTGGTAGAAGCTCCAAGATGAGGGACTTGGTTTTATTGAATGAGTTCCTTGGAATTCTGGCAATTTCTCCACCTGTCATATCACGTGGACATGTGCATGTATAAGAGAGAGAGGAGTCTCCTTGGATCCTCACCTTCTTGGGGGTCACAGGCAGGACGGATGAGCATGGTTCCCACCTCCCCAGCAGCCCCCTTCCTAGGGATCCCATTGGTCCAGCTCTGAAGGCTGCATGACCACAGCTGCTGCCCCTCCAGCCAGGGCAAAGCCTGAGAGCCTGAGATCGGCCCACTCCAAAGGCTCAGCATCCTGAGTGGGTGGGGCAGGTGGGAAACAGGGCAGGGATCTTCCTTCCGGCTGCATAGGGCCCATCTGATCTACCCTCCATCTTCCCATAAGCTCCATGTTCCAGGACCTGCTCCCCTGGCCCTGTGTCTCCTTCAGTACCCCCAGCTCCTGCGCCAGGTCCTGAGGACTGCTGGCTTTGGCTATGACCCACTTGACAAGCCACTCAGGGCTTCAGGCCACCAGACCAGGTCACTGCCCTGGTGCTCCACCGGCCCCTCCACCAGGTCCCAACACACTGTCTCCACCCACCTGGACCAGGCTTTCTACCTCTTCACAGGCCTCTCTCCCTCTTCTAGTGGCCCTTCTTGGCCAAATAGGACCCCATCCCAGGCCTCTGTTGAGCCATGTGTCCTCAGGGCCATGGAGAAAATCCCACTGGGCCACTTGCTACAATAATGAATGAATATTCACCAAATCACATCTATTGCACTTTATAGATGGGGAAAATGAGTTAGGCAAACTTTACAGTTGAGTCATGTCAGACTGGCTAATTCCAACACCTGAGCTTTTCTGCTACACCACACGTGTTCCCTCCATTCATTAGCAGAAGGTCAACCTAAGTCACTGATAATAATAATTGCTCATATTTTCTTGGCATTGTCCTGAGCATTTTCTGTGGATCAACTCATTTAATCTTTACAACAACCTTATGAAACAGGCACTCCTAACATCCTCTTTTATGTGAAGGGGAAACTGAGACACAGCCAGCCACCAGGTGCCTTTCTCAAGACAACGCACTTCTAAAGGCCTGCGAAGAAAAGGCCAGACTCAAAGCAGGCATTCGCTGCAGAGCCCATGCTGTGCACCCTGTGCTACTTTGCAGAGCACATCTATACCTTACTCATGGTGCTTCCACACACATTATATGGTCTAATTTCATTTTCTCACCAAAGATATGGATACATTATATCTACTTATATATCCACATTTTTTTTTCCATTAAAGAAGCTGGAAAATGTCCTGAAACATCCACCAATTGCACCAGTTCAGCAAATCCCCCATGCAAGTGTCCTGTCTTATCCTGCCGCTGAGGCCTCTGTGTCACACACACACAGTGCCAGTGCCTGGTGGATCTGAGCATGTTGACAGTTTGATTCCCTAAGACCATCACTGTCATCCATGGGGAATCTAACAGAATTCTGGAAGTGGGAGGCAGCCCTTTTTCTCTGCTCTTATAGACATGAAACTGCTGCTTTCAAAGAGTATCTTATTCATTGGAGAATCATTACAACCATTTTCTATATGAAGAAACAGCTTGGAGAATTTACAAGGTTTCCTCCGGGCACCAGGGAGTACATGCCAGGGCTGGGATTTGAAACCTGTTCCTCTGATTTCCAAACCTGTAATTTTTCCATTATGTGGACTCCCTAGAGAAAAACCAGAGGTGACTCTTAATTGGGCATTTGTCCAGTCATTGGAGTTGTCTCACCAGGCCCTCAGTCAGTATCTGGGG